GTAATTTGGATTTATAAAAAAGAAATGAAAATTGAAACACTACCAGACAACTATGATAGTGTGATGAAGTTTGGATGATGATGACGGTAGGCGAAATCACTATTCATTTTCTCCTATAGGCGTTGGGAAGAGTTTTGTTTTATGGAAAAAGTTACACAACACCTATAGGCTAAAATGAACAGTGATTTCGCCTACCCCCATCACTGTCCAAAGTTCATCGCGCGGTCATGATTGTCCGGTAGTGTTTAATTTTTTACTTCTTTTCTACAAATCACCTGAAATTTGGTGTGTGTATTCATCAAAAATAGGAGATTCTTTAAAAAATATATAAAAAAATATTTTACTTGAAAAACATTGACCAAAATACTCCTGAAATATTTCAGGGGTATTTTGGTTAATTATTTTTTACAAATAATTGTTTTTATATTTTTATTAGATGTGACTCAGTAAGATGTACATACCCTCCAAATTTCATGCCATTGTGATTTATATAAAAAAAAAATGAAAAATAAAAAACTACCAGACAATCGTGATCGCGCGATGAAATTCTGACGGTGATGAGGGTCTTCCTTTAAATAGTTAGGTAGCGGCCTCTTGCCTAGAGAGGCAAAGCGACTTCATCAATATAGACATGCAATGGTTTCCCTTTATTCTTTTAGGCCCCGTTTGGTTCTTAGAAATGGATGTTTGTTGTTTAGATAGCATCCGATAAGAGACCTAGAGAATGACTGTTCATTGTTTAGATTGTATTATTATTATTATATTATAATTATTAACATAATATTATAATATAATAATATTACAAAATTGTAACATAATATGGTATGACATAGTAGTATATCAATTATTATATATTAAAATAAGTATATATTTATAGATATTAATTTTATGTTATAATATTAAATATTAATTACAATATATACCATATATACTGTAATATGTAATTAATTACTATTATACATAATTATAATATTAATCAAAGACCGATGGGTAATATGTTATCGCCTAACATATCACGTGTTTTAAATACTTGTTTCTTTCGCCTTCTAGTCTTCCTCGCTTTGTAAAACAGCGGCTAGAGTCGATCTAGGGGATGGACTCTAGGCCACGAGGCAAGGGCCCCTCAAATGGCCCTAGCGCATCGTATATTGCACGATGCTTTCGCTTAATGATCTACAATTCATTGAGCCCCACAAGCATTTGAGGCCGATTTGCTCAACAAATCGGGCCTCTATCTTCGTATAACATGCCGCCTTGCCTTCAGCACCTTCGGCTCCTCTTGTGCCTTCGGCCTGGGGTTCCTTGCCTTCGCCTTCCGGTTTATTGCCATATAGCTTGCTTTCCAACGAAGCCGAGATGTTCGGCCCGATGCAGTAGATAAGTGGATAGGTTCGCAATACTGGCCCTTAACTTGCATGGGATAGCCAAGCCGTTCCAATTCACTAATAAAAACCACATTCTTAAAATCAACTGCAATGTATTGTTTAGCCTACCTTGGCTTTGAGTCAGATTCCTTACATGCCTAGCCCGGAAACTTACCATGACTATTCTACTAGAACTAGCAAATAACAAATTATTATTTTAATTATCATATTAATTATTATAATTAATTACATAAATATTATTTATTATATTAATTATTATAAATTAATTATTAATATTATTTTGGTGGAATATGCATCTCCACTTTTTGACCTCAAAATTTGGATACAGCTATCGACACAGAAATTGAAATCCCATCTTCAGATTGTATCCAAAATGCTGAAACGCCCCCGCATCCATGGAAATGAGTCTTCTAGCGACCCAATTCCAGGGAACCCAACAGGCCCTTAAGCGGAGTGAATCTCATGATGCTGAGTATGAGTTCAAACAAATGGCCTGATATTTCAGGTGGTTGAAGTTTTATAATCAAAATTCATTTTTCTCAGTAAATATTCACAATTAGAGTTCGTAATTGAATTTACCATGTAAAGAGGACGTCGGGCATCGGATATATTCTTTTCATACAAGCACTTGCAATCCAAAGCCTCCTTATAGTGTCCCTTCAAAATAAAAAGACTTGAGAAATATTTCAAGAAGTTGAGTTGCAATTATTTCAAAAATATGAATTAACATTTGAATATGAATGAGAGAAATACAGGGAGAGATCCTCCATGTAATCCGGAGTGCCATGCTAGTCTGTTTGATAACAGGAATTAAGGCCCCATATATTGTCTGAACAGATAATAATTGGACACTCACTTCAATTGTCAGTTGTGCCGGACAAACAGTAGAGATAAAATGTAATGTTTGTGAACTTGTTTGATGGACAATGATACTTTTTCTAGATCATTCCAACCGTCGGAGTTAGACTACTCGGACCACTGACGGTTGAGAACAAGATTCAGCAAGAATGATGTCGAACCAAGATTATATATCTTCCATGGCAGTTTTCTTTCTATGAAATGCATGAGAAAGAAATAGGGTAAGATGCTTTACCTTAGAAATAAGAGAACAGGGTCTTGGCAGTGGATGTCAATACGATGTATTGAGTTTCATTACCACCAAGTCTGAAGTTAACATTAAAAGAAAAGGGAAAAAAAAACTACCTCATAGATAAGCATCTCAACAAGGAGCATTTCCAGTTCATGTGTCTCCAGTGCCCGTCCTTCTTTTCGGACCCTTTGCAATGCTTCTCGCAGCATACGTATTACTTCCTCTTCCTTTCCACTCATTTCCAGTATCGATGCCAAACTCTTCAAAGCAATACAAGAAACTATTGGCTTTTACCATCTACAAATTTTGAGGTGAATGTAATCTAAAAAAATAAATCTCTTTTTCAGGTTTTCTCGTTGGCATCCGAGATGATTCGTGTACATTTGAGTTTTGAAATTAAATATGCATTTATTAATTCTGAAATTACACATTTATATTTTATTTCTTCATTATATTATTCAAGAAAGTAGGTAACTCATAAAAAAAAAAGAATAAACTGCAAAATATTTTATCAAATTTTGTCCTTGAATGTGAGTTAACACAATACTTTATCTAATGTGATCGAAATATACACATACGACTTGACGAATCTTCACGACAGTTTCGATGTTGTGTGTTATTGGTTTTCTCATCGTCATTATCATCTGAGCCCTATCCCAATTATTTGATCGTGGATATATGAATTATGCTTTGTCATTTGCTATATGAAGGGCTCTACCCTTAGCCAAGCCATTAGTCAACATATCTCTTCTCACTACTACTATCCATATCCTTTTGAGCTTTCCGCTAGAGCCTTCCATTGAACCTCCTAGTCAATGTTGTTTCACGTCAACATTGAACATTGCTGAACCACCTAAGTCTAATTTGCCTCTTCTCTTTGTCTATTGGAACTACCCCGACGTTCTCTCTGATGTGTTCATTCTGAATTCTCTCTTTTGTCTTGCCACTCATCCACCTCAACATCCACATCTCAATTGTACTCATTCCATGGACATATGTTCCTAGAATGAGTGTAGTTGAGATGGATGAGTGGCAAGACATCAAAGGATAAAATTTCGATATATTTGAAAGAGAAAAGATGGTTGTGTAAAGTTGGCTCCTGGCAAATCTCTACCTCAATCCTTATCAATTTTTTAAGGAATAAAAAACAATATGTTTGTACAATTCATATATGTTTGTAATATATATATATATATATATGGCATAGAATTTCCTAAGGGCATAGTATTTCCCAAGAGATAGTGTTCCTCGTATGTGAATAATGAGAGCATAATGTGTTGCTGACATTGGCATCTTAAAAATAACAATGCTTATTAATGCTCTCTAGGCCTCAAAAGGCCAAGTGAGAAAATGTTGGATACTTGGCCTTTCAAGGCCTTGAGTGCATTGCCAGCACTATTCTGAATCACAGTGGGAATGACTAGCGGCTATCTGACTCTTTACGTACTAGAATCCGGATAGGCCAAAATAGCGTTGTTTAGACTAAGGCAAGGTTCTTGGAGCAAATTAAGAACTGAGAGGATTTAGGGTTTTTCTCTAGTCAGAGTCGGTATGACTACATTCGCCTCATGTCGTGTGACGCAGGGCTTGCGGATCAGTGGATCCCGCTTTGTGATATATATATATATATATGTGTTTTGTATTTGTTTTGTGTGAGCATAGCTGAGTAGTAAGAGGACGTAACTCTAAATCCTTGACATCAGTAGTTTTCTCACATCGTATGCACAGACAGTAGCATTTTAGGAAGCCGTTCTGATAAGTTAAGATATGCCTATCAGAATTGTGCACACACGCTGAGAGAGGACCCTCGCATCCGCAAGAGTGCAGGTCCTTGGGGGGCACCTGTAATCCACTTAATAACCTTGAAGTCCATCGAACTATCGGTTAGCTTGGATAGGCCCACTCATGTCTGAACTAAATTATGCGACGCATAGGGGCCTGTTAGGTTGACCTGAAAAATTGGGTTGGATTTTCGGCTCTAGCCTAGTGGAGTACCGTACAATCCAACCACCTCTGAAACTGGATTTTTCTAACCCGAATTTATTAGAAGTTCCAAACCATAATATTTTGATAAGAAATTATGAAAATTGATTTATCATGATTTTAGATGATTTTTTAAAATTTTATTTCAAAGGAAAAATACTTTGACAAATTTTTGTGTGCTAATGCCAATTAGGGATATCCACACATGCATCCTATAGGGCAGCCACGTCATTTACCAATACGCATGACATAGAAACCATAAAACTTTATATGGGACCCTCGTTTGGATATAAGACGTAACATTAATAAGTATAATGTGTTTTATGACACATGTGTGGACACATGTGTGAGTTCATATGTGGGAATGTAGAGATTTCTCATTGTTTTAAATTCATTTATCTTTTAATTTTGTGATTTGATTATCCTTTAAAAATTTGAAATGGAGGACTCTTATTGGTGTGACGAAGATAAATTGACACACCATGACATATGCTGATGTTATGTCCCCTACCCCCCCCCCCCCAACCTATTTAGACTTGATGATGAAGGTATCTCATCAATGATGGTGATGTGTTAGTTAAAAAATGAATGCTTGAGATTCATTGTATTTAAAATGTTAGGGTTAAGGGGCACATGAAATATTGTCAGAAGTGAGTGGTGGTGGTATGTAGTATGGTGAAAAGGGTGTGATCATTAATCACTATCCATGTGATAGCTATTAATGGTGATTAGCTAGGTTAGGTCTTTAGCCTCTCTCAACCCTTGGATCACTCTATGGGTGGTGGAGATCTAATCTAAAATTTGAAACCCACATGAAAAATCTATAAATAATACCTCTTTCGACTTGGCTATAGGTTGGTTAATTCTTTAATTTTTTAAGATTTATCTCTTCTCGAAAGGGCCTTATGCCCCACCCCTTGAGCTTCTCTTCTTCCCACTTCATGTGTTGGCTCTCCTATGAAATTACCTAAGCCTTTGTCTCATGATGTAGCCCATGTGTTCTAAACTTCACCCCACACACCATCCATTGTGTGATGGCTGCTATTGAGCCAATTTTTGACTGCTGTTATGTCTAAAAAATGTTGCTGGAAATTCTCATGATCCCCCTTTGCAATACCATCTCTAATATCCAAATAGACGAGCCCCTTTCATGCTATTCTCTCATGATGAAGTGTGGTGCTCACAACTTCATCACGCACCACTCAATCCACGTTTGGCTATTATTATATCAACCTTATGCTACTGGATTTTCATGACCGCAGTAAGCAACTATCTCTCATAAGTTTTCTTTTGAAATGTTAAGTACGTATTTTGTTGGTATAGTTCCCATGCTATCTTGTGCAAATCGTTGAGACTTCTATGTTTTTGGAAAAGGTATGCATGATTTACTTATTGTGTGTCTTCATGTTGACAACTTAATTCAAGTGTGGAGTTCAAAGATGTGGAAGATTTTAAGAAAGCATTGATGAAGTAGTATGAAATAACTGAGTTGGGGATCATGTGATACAATCAAATTGTTTGTAATATTATCGTTTGAAAAATTTTCGAGGTTCTTTTTATGGCCACATGCTAACTGGTGAGTACTCCCTTGGCTATGAATGAAAAATTCTAAAAATGGTGTAACAAAACCCTATGCACCAAGCATCGATATATAGAAGCCTAGTTAACTCTTGATATATCTCACTTATACAAGACCTTATATAGTTTAAGCTACCAGGGTTTACGTTCAAGATTGGACTCAGTAGACTTAGTTTTGCAGCAACTGAAATTATGTTTATTTTATGTTTATTTTATGTTTATTTTATGGAATATATTATTTTATAATTATTATTTTAATTTTTATAAATCCCTGGATATTTTATTTATCAAATTTCGATTTATAAAAACAGAGATATTGATTTTACATCGTTTTAAATATTTAAATAAATTCTAAAAATTATTTTATTGAATTTTAAAATAGTTAAAATTGCATGTGGCCCATTGTGTATATGGGCCCACCATGACCTAGATGGTGAGGCCCATGAGACCCTCTCATGAGTGACACGCCCCATCCATTTAGGGAGCTTTTCTATTTTGTTAAATGGAGACTTTGACTTATGGTCAAAGTGTTATGTGTTTTGAAAAGGAATTGGCTTGAGGAAGTTGTGAATGGATTTTTTGGAAAGCATGAGACAATATGTGCAATATTATGGTATGCACAATATTATGTTTGGAATTATTCTATTTAATTTTTATTGATGGGAAATTGATTTAGGAAAGGTGGATAAGAGTTCTAGCACCTTCCATAATGTTGATGGCTTATTTATGAAATGGAGGGCTCAAATCTCTCACCTCACAAGTCACCCAAGATCAATTGTTCATGTTCAATCTCACAAGAAGAAGCAAGCTATGGAAAAACCTAAGAAACACTAATTCTATTATTGCTCTATAAATAGAAGACCTCTCTCCATGAAATCTTTACACCAAAACCTTCTCTTCTCTCTCTAGAATTACTCTCTCTCTCTCTCTTAGACGTTATAGGGGGCATGCTCCAAGTATTACTCTCTCTCTTACCTATTCTAAAGGGGCACGCCCCACCTCCTGAGTTCTCTCTCTCTCTTTAGGTTGACCTGAGGGGCACACCCCACCTAGATAAGGTTCTATCTCTCTTATATTGTTTTGATAAAACCTAAGGGTTGGGTAGTATTTAGGGGAAGATATCTTAGACTAGGTCTTGAAGTTTTTTTGAACCTAGGTCTAAAGGATTGGTGATCAAGAGGAGTTCATAGTACTATTGGACGATTTGGCCTAAACTTGCTTTCCTGGCTGAGATTGATGTTTGATCATTGCTTCCGCACCATCGGATGGTGGTGACACAATGTAGGGTGTAATAAGCCCGGTTGTGAGAATCTCCAGCATATCTTTTGTTTACTGCATATTCATTTATATTGTCTTTATATTTCCAAGCATATGAAGTAGTGGCTATTTTCTTTATTTAAAAAAAATTGGTTTAGTGGCATCAAGGTTTTAAAAGGTCTTGGTTTTTTTTCTTTGAAGCATAATTTATTGTAATAAGACTACTTGTACGTGATCTTTGCTCAAATAAAAGGGGTGAAAAAGAAGAAAATAAAAATATACATACCCCGACAAGATTACATTGGTATTTCTTTCATTGGTATCCGAGCATAGTTACTTGTTGCCAGTAAGAGTCTTTTCTCTTTATTGAGTTGAGATTTTTTGCTTGGGAATACAAGATATGGTTCACCGTACCTTCATATCAAAGATCCTAAAAACCAAA